CAGCATATAGGTACGCACTGCACCCCACAGCAAATCATTAAGAAAATACATATACCTGCTACAATTAAAAGGAACATCTGCTTCAACCATGAAAAATTAGGAAGCCAAGAAGTAAGCCACGAAAAATCAAACCCATCATCTTGTTTGATATGTGACAGAATGTCCTGTAACTTTTGTACCTTTGACTCTATTAGCTTAGAATTATCTGTCAAATTGAAGTAACACATCCCATCGAACTCTTCGCACCCATGGTTATCTCTCAGTAACAAATAGTCGGGAGCGCCCGGGCGGCAGCGCCCGCCGCCCGCTCCCTCCTTACCTCCTTTATTGCATCTGGAGCAGCGGCTTTCGGGGGGCTTCCCCCTCTCCCTCGCGCTCTCCTCTCGGCTTATACCAGCCTGTTCCTCATCTCACAGCCTTCCTCCCAGCGCCATCTTGCAAGCTTGTGACGTTGGGAGCTGCTCACCCCTGACCCACATTTGAATAGAAGCCAAAATGGAAAAAAAAAAAAGAAAGAAAAGGAGGAGAGAGAGAGAGAGAGAGAGGGGAGAAAAGAAGGGGAGGAAGGCGAAGGCTGCAGGTGAGCAAGTGCTGTGTCAGTGTGGAGCACACCATCAGCTCCTGCCCTCTTGCCAGCTAGTTTAGTAATAAGCAATTTCCTGCTTTTGCAATAAATGTTGCAGCAGCCGAGCCGGGAGAGGGACAGGGAGCTTTGTAATTCCCATTAAAAGACCCAGGCTGCCGCCCCCCGCCACCCACACCTCGGGGATCCTGCCACCGGCGCGCGGACTAGCCACATCCTGCTCCGAGGGGAAGGGGGGAAAAAAGGCATTTGTGAAAATGTATTTATTTCCGCTCCTGGTGAGGTCTCCAGTGTGTCTGGAGCAGCAAACGATAGGGAATAGGACCAGCAAAGGTGCTGGGAGGCTTAAACGAGTTTGTTGCTGATGTCCAACCCAAAAGAAGAAGAAGAAAATATAGTGCAATTGGGAAAGTCAGTTGTTCCTACTTTTCCTTATTTGTTAAAGTGCTGACAGGGTGTTTTGCAGCATCCAAAACCAACCAGATAAATAGCCTTTGCTCTCTGGGAAGCAATAGCGACCTAAAGAGTCTCTGTCAGTTTGTTGGATTTTTTTTTTTTTTAGTTATTGAGAAAGTTATTTGGGTTTTACAGTCCTGCCAGGGCTTCCCTGGGTACTTAACTTAAAGCTCAGGAGGAATCCACAACCTGGGACTTCCCCCATGCTGCAATACCTGTTTGTGGATTGGGGCCTTCTTTTGCAAAAGTTCAAGTGAAATGACCCAGAGTCTCAATTTTTTCCCCATTCTTGAGTGTCACCAGGTAGAACCGCTCACCCGCGCACGCAGCATTGCCCTGGAATCCGAACAGTGCTCACATAGCACTTCACCTTTTGCAAGCGCCCTGCAAACATTAGCTAATTAATCTCTAATACTGAAGCAAACTATAGGAACCCATTTTATTGGGAGCACACAGTAAGATTTCCTCTGCTCACCCATGTAGAAATAATTAAAATGTTCGCAGGTGCGAGATCATGTTTTGCTTTTCCATTATATGATCCATATTAGTAAAAGAGGATATTACTGTGCCAAGGATAGAAGAGCAGACAGTTTGGTGGAGTTTGGTATCCAAGGGTCAGAGCCCTTACAATCACCTGTGTCCCCATTCAAACTGGGTAGGGTGCTTACATTAGTGTGAAGGGTCCTGCCATATTTTAGGTCTCTAAGAATTTGCTGGCGGCTCAAACGCAGCAGGTATTTCAGGAGATTCCTATGCTGACCCACATGGTTTACTTGCTGGTTACTCACCTCCAGCTCAGAGGTTTTGATACAGCAGTGCTTTTCAACCTGTGGTCCGTGGACCCCTGGGGGTCCACAAACTGTCTAAGGGAACCGCGAATAATAACCGATCAATCAAAAGTATGTGAATGCCCATGCTTACAATTCAAAAGGGTCCGCATCTCCATTCAAAATGTTTCAGTGGCCTGCAAATGAAAACAGGTTGAAAAACACTGTACTAAAGAGAATGATTTCTAAGTTCAGCCGTGGGGGTTTCAACAGTAAATAAAAGAGACAGAGAACAACAGAGCATGAGAAGGGTCTAGTATGTTCACCATATGCTTGATAAAGGGTAAAGCTTCAATGCTAGTAAAAACAGCAAAAATGACAGAGTCCAAGACACAGCAGATTAGGTGTGGATCAATTCAAGACACCTTCCTCAGTACTGCTCACAAGGGAAGGTGATTTAAAATTGGTGGAGAAGTTTGTGGCTGTATTTTAAAGCTCACTGGCTTTGTAAAAAAGCACTAGGAGGTGCTTGTAGCCATTTAGTCCATTCTGTGGTGGGAGGAATTGGAAGAAAAATGCATAGAAACCCTCATGCCATGTTATCTGAGCAGATTAGAAACAAATCTGGAAGATGATTTAGTCAAGTTCATAAATGAGTTTAATCCAAAATCTCTCTAGTTTGGAGGCACTGTTGGTTTTGGATGTCCCAGGCTAGGAAAAATGGAGACAGACAAATATCTAATGGCACTGAAGCAAACAACTAGAAAATAGGAATTCGGCATAGTGGAAAATGCTATGAGAGGTCATAAAGCTCTATGTTCACTTTAACGTATACGTATCTACTACAAGACAGAAAGGGTAACTAATGAGAAAGCCTGACCTGGACTTGTCACTGGAGCTGTGAGTGGCTGTTGAGAATCTGATGAGCCAACAGGTCAGGCTTATGCACCCACCAAAGAAACATCTGCGGGCATGCAAGAGAGATCCCACAATACCTGTAATGGCTCCAAGGAAGCTTAGCCAGGGAAACCACCACTCCAAGAGAGTTCCCTAGAGTCCCTGGAAACCACACCCACTGTGGGCATGCCTACTGCCGAGCCCTGGGTACAACGTATGCCCACGAATGTGGAAACCAAAAGCATTACTCAGGCAGGGAGAGCAGTGATGCCAGGAGAAAGACCAGATGAGAAAAACAACGCTGACATAGGCACGTTGTCCACACAAGCTGTGGCACTTACAAGTGAGTTTTAAAAAATGTTTGCTGCTCAGTGATAGCCAGAAAAGAGGGGTCACTCCAGTTCCTATACCTGTGCTTGAAATAGTTAATTGTGAATATTTATATTGCAGTAGCACTCAGCCCAGTCAAGTGGATCCAAGCTGATTGTACTAGCTGCTTTACAGACACATGCAAAAGCACCTGTCCTGTGTGTGCTGAGGAATACTTAGAAGACACAGTACTCAGTACAACTACAACAAGCAGGTTTCCCCCTAATCACGTACAGAAGCCTCAGACGGGAACCTGAAGAACTAGCACCTTTGGCTTGAATCTGATCACATTCATCTCCAGTTCTTCCTCACAAAACTCTCAGCACCTCTGTTTTCTCTGATTCTGTAGCCCTTAATGTTATCCATGAGATGGAGACACTGCAGGCAAACTATTTAGGTTCAAACAAGAACGGAAAACCCAGAAGACTTTTAGGATTTTAAATCATTTAAAGTTACTCCTCATCACCCTGGCTGGACTTGAGAAGTACTGCCAGTATTTCATGGTCACGCTAATGGCAGGCTTAGGCTCAAAATAAATTTTAAAAAAATGGGAGGACACTGGTGGAATCCGTACAGCTGAATCCCCAAGTGAGTGAGCAGTGAAGCAACCCCAGAAAAGAAAATGCTAGTGCAGAAAATAAGCAGAACATGGGAATGGGTGTGCCCCGACTGCTTTACCGCCCTTCAATACCACCTCTCCTGAATCCGTGTGCTAGTGGATGTCCAGTGCCATCTAGCAGGCAAAACAGTTGTTTACAATACTGAATGAAAATGGTGGGTATTGGTGGGTTGCACTTGGCAGTCATCTGGTTTGTTGTGCATGGTCTACATCTTGTAGTAGGTGGGCACAGCTTGAAGCTATTTCCTTTTGCTGTTAAGGTAACAACCGAAATTGTCCAGGAGTAACATTGTAGAGGTGTACCAAAGACCAACTTCATTGCAATATATTTACTGGAGCTGCAATGGAAAAGGACAAGAGGGTAGAAACTGCACAGAATAAAACAGGTTGAATTAGGGAATAAAATGCACTTCAAGGACAAAGCAAAGTGCATGGGGAAAACACCTATATTGTCAAGTGCATGCCCGAAAGATAGGCAATAGCTAACCTAACAGCTTCAAAAGGGCTACAGGTTTTCCAGGCATGGTCCAGTTCCTAATACGCTGCAGCCCCAGTGGGGAAGTATGTACAGCTTGACTGGGAAGATTCTTGCTTAAATATAAAGGGAGCACCAGAACACAAGACTGCCGAAGGGCAACCGAAAGAGGCATCATTGTAAACACCAGTGCTGAAGTTCAGCTACCCAGAAAAGTTTGTGACCTTTAGTCAAATGGAAACAGAACAGTTGGTAACAGCATGTGCAATGTTATAGCAATGTGGTTTGATAAGAAGGGCCTTTTATAGTCAGACTATAAGCCAAAATGAGACGCTATCAAACATGGCCAAATACGATAATGTGGTTTTAAGTCAAGATATATTTGAAAAGTTTCCTCATCTCTTTTCCTTCTTCAGTTGTAAGCTCTTTTCTGCGCTATTTTATAACAGCTCTCTACAACCAAGATAGATTATTTCAATTCTCCCTGCCCATTCTGGGGCTATGGATGCTCGAATTCTCATTTCAGTTGGTAGACAGATGCAGGACACATTATGTTTTTTACCTTTGCTTATAAAATCTTCCAGCTCTAGAAAAGAAATGTTCAAGAATGAAATGCCAAGTAGTAATAGAATTCTATTCAGAGTATTCGTGATGGTTTGTTCTAGTACAGTTGAATGGTAAAGTGCAAGTTTTGAAGAAACACACATTTAATTGAAAAATAAGTGTTTTTAGTAGAAATGTAATATGAGACCCAAAGCTATCTACCATAGAGATGAACTGGGCAGGTCTTCTTCTCAAAGCTATTTTTGCATACTGCCTGTCTACAGAGTCACTGAAACAAAGCTGCATTGGTTCATGTTTGGAAAATTCTCTTTGCAGTCATAAGAAACATAAGCTTAATTTTAAAAAATCCCACAACGTTTACAGTCTATAGGAAGTGATTGAGCCACTGTCCTGCTGCTTGCACAGACTACCATCACTTCTCAGATCAATCTTTCCTTTATACACAAGTAAAATTTTAGTTTAGTTTGGAGGAGGATGGACATATTTTATTGCTGCAAGCTAAGTTTTTGTGCTTTTTACTATGCATTCTATTAATACATCACAGGATACCTGAATCTAGCTGTGCCTGCTATATTAGTGATTGTACACTGTGCAATGGTATATTCTCTATTAGACTGCTGATATACAATGGAAGATGGAAAAAAATAAACGGATTGATCATCAAAGAAACCTGTGTATTAAAGGTCAGGAAGTAGAGGAATAAAGTGAGACTATGATACAAGTCAAGCAGTGGAGACCTTGCAAATTATTATACTAAATACAAATAGATAAAGTTTTTTTCAGGTACACATAAAAAGAAGCAAGGCTGCTACACAGCGAGGACGAGGTATACGTTAAAGATATTACAGCTATGACTCAAAATTTAAATACACATTTTGCTCAGCTGTCCATTGACAATGATGCTCCTCACAGATGCAAAGTCAGGATGGCTGCTGGCAACCAGGGTATGAAACTACAATGGGCAAGTAGAAACAACGATTCTAAAAGTTCAGTGCATTCAAAATTGGGGGAAACCAGATTATCTCCATCCCAGAATTTTGAAAGAGCTTGGAAATCACAGGTCCACCAGCACAGTTTTCAATAAATCTATCAAGTCAGATACAATACTCTGTA